AAAAAAAAAAAAAAAAAAAAAAAAAAAAAAAAACAATTCATATTGCTTCTTTATATTTTGCATAACTGAGAAATCCTGTTTATATATTCTTGAACTGATGTTTTAAGAGTTCTTTCACACAACCTTAATGGTTGTCCTGAAGATCACAGCATTAACATTTTGCTGAGGAACAGTAGATACACCCTCCTCTCCCAGAATTGTGTTGTTTCTGATTATCATGGAGTCATTAACCTTGGCAAGGAGAACATTCCCCAAAGGAGGAACATGAAGTCAAATATGTACATTATTATACAAACAAGCCTTATGCCTACAGCAACATCCACACTCAAGGAGACATACACCTTGCTGACCTGATCCATGGGCAAGAACTATGTCATGCCATCTCCTCTGTGGCCATGCTGGACTCCAGATCCTGGACTACAGATATAGAAAAGAATGAGCAAGAGTTCAGTAGAACCAGACCTGTCCACAGATGAGACAGACACATTGTCTGTGGAACCTGCCCTGTTCACAGATCAAGGATTTAGCCCAACTCTGGACATGGAAGTCATTGCAGAGGGAATGTGCAGTGGCTGGTCATACCACATCTACTGTCAAGAAGCAGAAAGAAATGAGAATTAGGTCTTCAGATCAGTTCCCCACTCAACTTCAAAATTCCATCTGGATCTTTACTTGAAGCAAACGAGAAAGCTTACTGGTTCCTCTGAAGAGCAGGACATCCTGGCAGCATGGTGTTGTCTCCAACATCTAAAATTTCTTCATGCTAAGTTTATTACATTTTATCCACAATAGACCTCTGTCTTTCCTATTGCAGCTATGCGTAGGAGCTTTGGAGCATGATCATCACTGGAGGGGAATCTGTTGTGTGATATGCTGTTACAACTGAATAAAAGTCTTACTGGTTTCATGTAAAGGTTCCAATACAAAAAAAAAAAAAAAAAAAAATTTCCCCTGAGGGCTCGTGTATGGTCCCAGCCTGTGGAGCTCCTGGGAGGTTATAATGCCTTGAAGTGGCATAACCACTGGAAGAAGTTGGGTCACAGGAAATAGGTCCTTGAAGGGGAGACCAGGCTTGATCCGGACCCTAGCCCCTTCCTGTCTGTCTCACTCTGCCTCATACCTGCCATGCAATGAGCAAACTCCTCTACCAAGCATTGTCGTCAGGTCATCAACCTTGCTACTGAGCCCTCTTGGAAATTAATTAAGCAGACCCAAAGCCCAAACAGATCTCTTCTGCAACACTATAATAAAACCAGGAGTGACAGGTGAGGTCCCACCTTCTGTCTCCTCTCTCTCCTATTTTGTGAGTGTTCTTACTGCTGATGGTATCAACAGATTGTTCTTCAAATGACTCTAAGTAGGTATGGAGATTTAATAGTGCAAGTCTCAGACCCTAGACCCTTCCGTATGAGAAGGACTCCCACCCAGTGGGGACTTGGAAAAGGTAGCAATGATGTGTGGCTGAAAAAAGGCATCTTGGTTTCAACTGATTTTAGTTTTGTGAACCAGTGACTTTATTGGGATTACCTTCAGTAGCATGTGTGTGGGGTTACTTATAGAAGTATGGATGAGTTAAAGGTAACTCCGTCCTTGAAAATCTTACTCCAGCATAGACAATGACTCATGAGACTTCTACAACTGTTTGAATAACTTGTAGGCAGTGAGGCTGGGAAGGATTGCTTATATAACCTTGGGGAGGTACTTGAAGAACTTTCTGAGGCTTCTGAGTTTTTATTACTTCCTTAGTCTTAATGAGTCTCCTCCATAAAGAATAAGATGTTCTAATTCAGAGGAAATAGCTACACAATGATCAACTGGAATATGAACTTAGGGTAGGAATGGAGTCGCATGTGTCTGTATGGAAATGCATATAACAATGTGAATGCATACTTAGGGCAGAGATACGGATGCATATGTTTGCATGTATGCGCGTGTCAGTGTGAGCAAAGGTGTATAGGTATGTATACTCACACCTTTCTTCTAAGTGCTTTCACTACTTGTTTTAGTATTGTACCCTTCTGAAAAATACCCTACAGCAGTGGGTCTCAATCTTCCTAACGCTGTGACCCTTCAATATAGTTCCTCATGTTGTGGTGATCCCAACCATAAAATTGTTTTTACAACTGTAGTTTTGAGATTGTTATATTTTGTCTATTTCTGGATAAAGGTTTGCCAAAGGGGTTGCAACCCACAGGTTGAGAACCACTGACCTGTAGGTTTCCTCTTAACATCTCGTAAGCTTGCACCATACAGAGGACCTCATTCTGCCAGCCTCACATGCCTGTGTCCTTGCCCTTTGATACCAATCTATGGCAGGACTCCTTTGGAGTCTTATCTCGCTGAAACCTAACTTGTCAGGCAGGAAACTCTTGGCATCCCCCTCCCTCAACTCCCTACCCACATGTAAAACATGGAGTCAGCCATACTCAGGTGTCATCAGCTTTGTAAAGTGAGGCTTTCCAGATACTTGCTGCATTCTCTCTCTCTCCCTGCCTAGCCCCCTGCTCTTTTAGCATATCGCCTGGAAACAGTGTCCAAGAACCAGGTCAAGCAGAGGGCTTCCTCAGATCCAGTCCCTCCTGATAAGTTTCTCCTCACACAGTCCTGCTGATTATGTTATGCTTCCTGAGATCCAACATGTCTATTGTCTCCTCAGTTGCCCATCCCTCAAGTGTTCTCTGGTCCCTCATGACGTAAGCTTAGTGGAAAGAGGCCTCTAGCTTGACATCCAGTAAGGAAGTAGCAGGTCACAGAAATGTGTATTGCTGAAGGAGCAGCCACTAAAACATATAAAAGTGTGGGGAAGGGGAAGGGGAGAGGGAGAGGGAGAGGGAGAGGGAGAGGGAGAGGGAGAGGGAGAGGGAAGGGAGAGGGAGAGGGAGAGGGAGAGGGAGAGGGAGAGATATTCACTCAATGAAAAAAAAGATTGAGAGTGGGAGTGAGCTTGCCAGTCATTACAAAGTGTTCTAGAGTAGGCAGAAGAGGGAAAAAGAGAGGAGAGTTGTAGGTGTGAATGCATGCTGCCCTTAAGTCTGATGCAGGGCAGCTGTGGTCAGTTTGACCCAACAGATGAAGTGGGAGGATCTTTTCAAGCTTCTCCAGCTGAAAGATGGCGGACAGATCTTGGAAGGCAACACGGCTCCTGTTGGTCATTCTGGTGGCCCTGGTGGCCTTCAGTTATCAAGTAAAGAGGAAAACATTTATACGGGTACATGAAGTAAGTGCATTGGAGCCTTCTGTGAAGCAAACACTGGAGTATGTCACAGATCAATACAACAAGAAAAGTGAAGACTTATACAACTTCAGGATCCTTCGAATCCTCAAGATTGAAGAGCAGGTGAGTGTGTGGCTTCCCTGTCTCTCCTCCACAGAGGGACCCTGTGCTCCAGGCTTCTGTTTTGATAAAAATCTCACTATGCAGACTAGGTTAGGCTCAGCCTTCCTGTGCCAACATCCACAGTGCTGTAATTACAGATATAGGCTTCCATCCCCAACTGAAAGTGGGTGTTTTAAGATAAATGTATATTCAATAGAGTAGATGACTCTGTCCTTTCAATAATAACTAAAAATTACCCACCCAGGACCAACTGTCTTAGCTGTATGCCTTTTAAAGCAGTGTTATTGCAGCTAGCTGTGATATGTCCATCTGGGGTTTCTCTGCTGCCATGGGCAGTTTGAAATGTGACAACACAGGACATATGGCCTACATAGATTAGCCTGTTTACTATCTAGCCTTTCACAGAAAACTTAACACAATCCTGTCTGGAACAATTAGCCTTTTCAATGCAATCCAGGGGATGGCTGATCCCATGGATAAAGATGGGTAGTCTTGGTGATGTCTCAGTGGGTGGCTAAAAGAGGACTGGAGTCAGACAGAAAGAAGAGCAAGGATTCCACAACTGTGCAAGACTGGGCTCTTGCGTGGAGCAAGGGGTAAAGCTGCCCCACTTGTATAGAAGCCATAATGGGGAAAAGAGGTTATTCACCTTTTGCCTTCCCCTTACTATCCACAGATGACAAATCACATGGAGTATCACATCACAGTGGAAATGCAGCGGACCACCTGCTTGAAGACAGAGAACAGCCTCTGTGATATCCAGCAAGGGGAACTTCACAAGGTGCTGGGCAAGCTCATTCACATAAAGCCATTTTTTTCTCATGGTTTTAGCATAAGAGAAGGCAGACCTGTTTGGGATCTACTCAAGCTTGCTTAAAAGAAAATCTCATGAGTGTTGTCTCCTGTTTCAAAGAAGAAACTAGAAATGGAAAAGGCTAAGCCATCATTTGTTGATGCTAAAAGAATCACAAGAAAGAGAAAGAGGTCCAAAGGGAGCAGTTGGGTGGCCAAACTACAAGGAGACAGCCCAGGCCAAGGGAAGCAGTTAATTATTAACTGTATTCTAGCCAGAAGTAGGAATGTACATTTGAAAATAATTTGACTGGTGTAGGGGTAGACTAAAGAAAGCAAATCTGAGTGAATGGCCTGCTGAGGGACCTGCTGAGAGGCCTTCAGCCCCAAAGGTACCTCAGTCCCCAGAAAACTTCATTTTGATCCAGCAGGAGGCTGGCTTAATGCTGTCCCACACTGTGAGCGCTTCTGTGTGCACAGACAGAGTGTGTCCAACACACAGAGGAATATTTAGCCTGAGAGTCCTAACAGCACTGTAACTTTCTCTTAACGTTCCCCAAGTGAATTTGATCAAAGATGGCCTTATGTCCCTCCTTGCCCAGCATCATCCTGGTCGATGTCAAAATTTTTAATGTAGTCATTATTAGCCTCATCTTTTGCTTATAACATGTCCTTGTCCAGTTCATAAACTATGTGGTCAACCTACTAACAATGACTTGGAGATTATCAACACACAAATGTGGCCTTTCCTGAGCTCTCTTTTCATATTAGGACATAAAATTATTGGTTTGGGCAAATGAAGTATAAATAGAAGGAAAGAATAGGTCGAAGGATAGAAGGATAAATGTGGATGGAATTAGAAGGGCAAATATTGTGAGTGGGTGGATGGGTAGCTAAGTAAAAGGAAGGAAGGAAGAAAGAAAGGAAGGGAGGGAGGGAGAGAGGAAAGGAAGGAGGCAGGGAAGGAGGGAGGGAGGGAAGTATGACGGGAAGCAGGGAAAGAAGAAAGGAGATGCAGATCCAACAGAAGCTCAGAGAGAGAAGACATGGTAAATGCCATGTAAGTGATGATGGTGGGAAATGGAATCAGTAATTCCCACAGTGAGTATGGGTTGATGGCCCCTATTCCTATCCCACATCTGACCACAAACAGAACCTTCTCCTGAATAGTCTTAGCAACCTTTTTGTCACGTGAATGAAATGACATAAATATCAAGATTGAAGAGGCAATGAGGCAGTATTACTTACCCAGCCTCAGGTTTGATATTCTCTTCCTTTTAACTTTCCATTTTTGTCCACGTTATCTTATTGTTTGTTTCTTTTTTTTTTTTTTAGAAAGAGTCTAACTATGGAGCCCATTTCTTACTGTAAACCTCTCACCTCAGATTCCCAATTGCTGGGGTTACAGGGTACTACCATGCCCAGCTCTTGTTCATCTTTTAAAATACATGTATTGGTCTCTTGTTTTGTTTTGTTTTAGCAAATCCGCTGCTACTTCTCAGTGTATGTCGACCCCTGGCTTGAAGTATTCAAAATGCTCAAGAAGAACTGTACTGATAGCAGCTGAGCGTCATGAAGCAGATGTGTCCTCCATGCTTCCCATCACCCTGCAATCGATAGTAATCCTCAATTTGCCCAATAAAGAGGTCAGCCTATTCTCTTCATGGTCTTCATGTTGATTCCAGTTTTCCCCTACAGATTCTTCAGTTATTATAAGAAAATGTGGAGGTCTACTGGGAGTCCCAATGGGCTAACATAGATACTTTCTGAACCCATTGTTTACACCCACATGCTAGCAGAACTTCATTTTTGGCTTCATAGCAAATATGAGACTTTAGGATGTTTTTAACTGATTGTTTGGTTTGGTTTTGAGATCTGGTCTCAGGTAGCCTCAAGCTGGTCTTGAACTCACTAGGAAGCTAAGAATGACACTGGACTTCTGATCTTTCTTCTTCCACCTCCCAAGTGCAGGGATAACAGGCACACCCAGCTTTATGCAGTGGTGGGTTTCAAACACAGGACTTCATGCAGGCTAAACAAGGATTCTATGAACTGAGCAACATTCCCAGGCCCAGTAGTCTCAGTTTTAAGACAAGATGGAGAAGATGGGAAGAAGGAAAATAAGGAGGTGGAGAGATGTTGACAGTAGATAACTGAACAACAGAGATGCTTACAGGGTACTTCCAAGATGGGACCTCTAAGGAACCTGACAAAGAGCCCCCCTCTCCTCTACTGAAGTATGAATGGAGAAGAAAAAACACAAAGAACTAAGACAAGGACTTGTTCCTGGTCCATTGTTGAGAGATGCTGTAAGTGCCTAATCTGTAGAGACTTGATGATCCAGGGAAGAGGGATATGGAAGGCAGGTGTGGAGTGGGGGTAGATAGGTGGGTGAGGGGTGGGGGAATACCCTCTCAGAGGGAGCATGGGGTGAAGAACTCTTGGACAGTAGACTGGGAAGGGTGACAACACTTGGAATGGAAATAAATTTTAAAAAATTTAAAAAGAATAAAAAGTTGTTAGAAAGTAAAAAAAGAAAACACTAAACTCAGATCTAGACTCCCACCACCTTATACCAGCAGTCAGGACCAGAGCAGAATGCATCTCAGATTCTGGCGGATCTTATCTATAAGATCCTGTGGAAAGGAGGACATAGACCACATAGCACTTTATTCTTCCGGTATCAACAAATTGGATCAACTTTACTAGGTGAAAAGGGAGTGTAGATGTGGAGAAACCAGAAACACTGTCACAGGGCCTGCACTTTCTGCCTTGATCTGTTTCCTATTACTAGCAACACAATACTACAAATGAGGTAAATTATTATTAATAACTAGTCTAATTATATATTAAAATTTTTAGCTCAAAGGGGGAAAACGTAAATTGTGAAATCTCTTTCATTTTCAGTCAGACGTGTTTAAGGGTAAAGAATACTGATGTCTTCATCTAAATGTGAAATACATATGAAAAGGAGACTGTTGGGTAAATATAAGAATGGGGAGAGAGATGCATAATATTGATACAAAATATAAATTGCAGAGTAGATGGTAAGTGCACAATCGTTCGTTGCAAAATCTTTCGACTTAAGATTAAGTTTGAAGATATTCATCAGTATTCTGGATAAAACATGAATGTATACATTAAATTACTCAGTCAGATTTTAAATAATTTGTCAGATGTGCTTGTATTGTTTAAAACATCTCAAAGTGGGACAGGAGAAATGGCTCAGAGGTTAAGAGTGTGTTCCCTCTTGCAGAGGACATGGGTTCTGTTCCCAGGATCCATGTCAGGCAACTCATGACCACTTGTAATTCCAGCTCCTAAGGGATCCAAGGCCTCTGACCTCAGTGAGCACTTGTACACACACACACACACCCATGTGCACACACACTCACAAATAAACAAATAAAAATATCTCACATTAAATGAAATCTATGAAGAAAAATATAGAATTAATCATGAAATTGGTTGCAATTCATCCTGTGTTCATTATACATATGGAACTTACAAAATGCTAAACAATTGTTACAAAACTTAACATTCACGAGCATCATTTAAAATTTGTATTATGTTTTTTATTTCACAAATTAGAGAATAAAAAGTAGATGACCATTTGTAGGAGGAATCAAGAGATGAAGTTGTTTTTAGCCACTGCATTATAGAAAAAGGACATTTGGATGGAGATTGTTAAGAGTTACTACATCAGTTTCTTCACTTCTTATTACAAATGACAAAAACTTCTATCACAATAATTCTAGAATTTCTACTCTAATAAATCCTGTGTAAGTGGTGTTTTCCACTTACATAGGATTTAAGTGTGGTTTTAAAATACATGTTCATTAATTTTCTGGGGATTTTATACATCCATCCAATGTATTTTGGTCATATTCACCTCTCACTTCTCATAACTCCTAAGAACCCCCATGCCTTCCCAACATCATGTTCTCTTTATGAGTGTGGCTTTTGTTGGGACCAGTACACTCCAGTGGATGTTGTCATACCCATGAGTATATGGCAACAGAAACACAACTGGACCCTGTAAGTTATAAGATAAATAGAGTGGTCAATTATAAAGAGAACTTTATTTGGGCTCATGGTTCTGGTCTAAGTAAGGTTAAAGAGTCTCCCTTTTGACAGAGTCCTGAGGCAGGGAGTGACAGAACCCTATCTAAATTGGCTTTTATAATTGACCGGCTCTCAAGATGATGCAGTATGTCATTTATCCCATTAACTTATTTATCACACAAGTTCATCCACTGATGTGTACTATAGCCCAGAGTAGCCTCTCTAACTCATGGCAACTCCCTTAACTCAACCTCCTGAATGCTGAGATTGTCAGCCTGAACCCACATGCCCAAGTCTCAAGTAAGTAACAATAGAAAGGCAGAGTAAGTTGGGAAAAGTGAAAACAAGTTCAAAATCAAAGTAGCTTATACTGTGCAAATGCACACCACATGGCCTCAGTGAATACCAGAGACACATGTGCGTGACCACTTTTTATGTAGGTTCACACATGCTTATTGCTAAAAGGTATTATTAGAAACTGAAAACTAGATGTGTATGGTGGTGTGTGCCTGTAATCTTAGTATTCAGGAGACTGGGACAGGAGGATCTCAAATCCAAAACCAACTTGAACTACTTACCTAGACACTACCTAAAAATATATATATCAAAATTTAAAAATCCTGAAAATCACTCACAGGTTCATTATTAAAGAATAGACAAGAAAGAATGGTGTGTTTAAAGACTAAAGAGATGGCTCAGTGTACAGGGAGACAGTGGAGGGCTACGTGGGGCTTCAGAGGCCCCTTGGGCACTGGATTTGCATGGCAGAGTGCTTTGGGCTCTCTGTACAAATGTATCACCTTCCACTCTTTCCCTGTGTCCCCTTCTCCAGGCATCTTGGTTAATATGAGGCTCTTACTTTAGGGCTCTACATTCTTCTCCCCTAAGTATCTCTAGTTGCCCTCTGATTGAGACAGTGCAGATTCAGGGAGGAGGCCAAGCATCACATGGTACACTCAATATGCTCTCAGCTCAAAGCTGTGCCCTCTCTACTGAGCTATGAGTCATGGGACAGAGGTAGCTGTAGGGAAGTGAGAATACAAGCTCACTGAATCTGGAGACCTAGAGGGTAACAGTAAGCACATTGATGGAAATTCTACCAAAGGGTCTCTGGATGTCCACACTACACATACAAGTGAGGCCTGTGCCTGGCACCCCTCTCCTTCTAGAGTCTAGAACTTGACACATGCCTATGAGATCAGCCCCAAACAACATGAGCTCTGAGTCTCTGACATTGGTTCCTGGCAGACAGTATGTCACAGATGTCCTCATAGCTTGATGCTGGGGATTAAATGGATCCTGTGGCTGCAATGACAAGGACTCTGAGAGTTTCTGTCTTACCTGGGACACCACCCTATACCTTTTTGTGGTGGTTTGAATGAAAATAGTTTGCATAGGATTATAGGGAGTGGCATTCGTAGGAGGTGCGGCCTTGTTGGAATAGGAGTGGCCTTGTTGGAGAAAGAGTGTCTCTGTGGGTGTGCTTTGAGGTTTCAAATGCTTGAGCCAGCCCTTGTTGCCTGAGGAGCTAGATGTAGAAATCTAAGCTACTTCTCCAGCACCATGTCTGCCTTCGTGTCACCATGCTTTTTGCCATGACAATTGTCAGAACACAGTCAAAAGAATGACACAAGGTAAACAATGCCTTAGGGAACTGTGAGAGGCTCCGGGAAAAAGCCAGAGGGCCTTTTAGCTCAAGTGCATTTTGTTCCCTGAATTGTTCTTGGATGTGATTCCATGCCTCCTGCAACAAATATTTGCATTCAATTTATAAGACATGCTTATCCCTATTGAATATTGGAGCATAGCTGTAGAATCTAATCAGGTGAAAGGGTATGCTGAGGGCTGTTCTGTGTGACCTAAATTTGGAAATGGCCTCCTACCTTGCTTTCATGCTCTCTCAGACACAATCTATAGTATATACCAGGAATTGTGTTTAAATTGTCTGTCCTGAGAAAGTTCTGGGGAAGGGCTGTCCTGTTAATATTTAATATGTGCTTACTGATGTTTATTTATATGTTTTGCTGAACTCAGACAACTTTCCTTGGATTATTGCTTTCTTTGTTACACCCATGTATAAAAGTACACTGAAACTAAAGTATAGTTGTCTACAACATTAGACAGTAGTCCACTCCATTCCTTAAGGTCTTCAAATCCCAGGACCTGTAGACAGATCTGCATAGGTCAATGAAAGTAGACAGACAAAAGAGTAAACCTCTGAACTGTAAGCCAGCCCTAATTAAATGTTTTCCTTTGTAAGAATTGCTGTGGTCATGGTGTCTCTTCACAGCAATAGAAACCATAACTAGGACACTCCTGTTGCTGCTGCTGCTGCTGCTGCTGCTGCTGCTGCTGCTGCTGCCGCAGCCACTGCCACTACTGCCTCTTGTCCTTTTGCCATTGTAAGTCACAGCCTTGCTACAATTGTACTGAATCTATGCTGGCTACTCAGCCTTCTTTGGTCATGGAACTTCAGACATGCTCACTGTGACATGTGTGAGTTACAGTGTTGTGTGTATTGTCAGGATATAAAGCTCCACCTCCCAGACCCAGAGAAAGCAGAAGCATGGGGTTGAGGTAGAAAGAACAGTGAGACTCCCTAAAGGGATATCAGCATCCTATTCAAAGTACAGTAGTCCCTGGTGACTACCTCGTTTCTGTGAGGTGTGTGTGAGCTGCGAGTGGAGGAAGGCACAGGGCTTCATGTGTGGGAGTGTTTGGATAAGTTTGTGTGGGGGGTTCATGTTAAGTATATGACGGTAGGTGGTGTGTGTGTGTGTGTGTGTGTAAAGTACAATAAAGGAGTTGCTACTATTCATGTTGTTGAATATCAATGTTGTGAGTTTTGTGTGCTTGTGTGTGTGTGTGTGTGTGTGTAGAAACACCCCAGCAAGGGACACCAGTTCTCTTACAACTTTACAAAAACCAGTACACACACAGTTATTTAGGTGTCAGCAGAGCTCGTTACACTCAGATCTCCTGGCAGGAATTGTTCCAGAGGTGGTAGCAGTCCATCCAGGGTACAGAGTATATCAATGATGAGCAAATCAGGCTCTGTGGAAGAAGAAAAAAAAAAAAAACAAGATAATCAGCTTTGGGGAAAATAGTTTTCAAAGGTGAGAAAAAAAAAGGGGCTCCTGCTTCTCAGGCCCTGGGGCAACCAGAAAGGAACTATCCATCTGAGACCCAAGGCAGGTGACTCTGGAACCCTCAGTTTTAGGAGTTTCCTCCTCTCCTCCCACTCCTGTACCTACACCCTGGGATAGGAAGAGGCCCTCTTTATCTACTATCTGGCCAAGAAAGACCAGGCAACATAGAAAGGGACAATGAGGGACAATGAGGAACAGCAGAACTGAGAAGACGCAGGCGATGAGACAGTCCTTAGTGAGCAAGACCTAGAGAGGAAGAGCAAGACCATAGCAAAAGCCCCAAATAACACAGCCTGGGGCTCTGCAGGTAGAGACAGATGCACCAAGAAGTGTCAGTTAGTCCTATGGCTGGGCATTTGCTGGCCCCAACTCTCACAGTTTGAGAATATTTGCTCCCCATTCTTGGCCTCAGGCAATCTCAGAGAACTCCCTCCACACACCTTTTTCAGCGTGTTGCTTTGCAGGGGACAGGTGGCTTTCTTCGTCTCATTTTTCTTACATTTGGTCCTGCCAATCTTCACAGTAACCAAATACTCCACGCCTGTGGTCAACTGCAGAGAAATAATTAATCTCACTTCTAATTTCCACTTTGAGTGTCTAGTAGCTGACCTTCTCCAGGAGGAACTAAGTCATGACTTCTGTTCCCCAAAATCATGCACCAAAATTCAATTCCTCCCTCCCCTCCCAGTGCGTGAGTCTCAATGGAAACTGGGCACGATCTTGTGCCCTCAACTTTACTGTGGTAGCCACATAGTGCCTCTATTTTGTCTCCCACTCATCCCCACGACAAGACAAGCTGGGTTGCCTGGTAACTGCAGACCACCGTGGTTCTCATATTGCAGTGAAGTACATGACCCTATTTCTTCCCAGTCTGTGCATCATCCACTCCTTCCTTACTCTCCTTTCTGGACAATCAAAAGGAAGACAATTTAGCAACACATAAAAATACGGATCAGAGAGATTGCTCAGCAGTTAAAAGCACTTGTAGCTCTTGCAGAGGACTAAGTTTTGGTTCCCAGAACCCACATGGCAGTTCACAACCATCTGTAACTCCAGTTCCTGGGGATCCAACACCCTCTACCAGTCTGTGCAAACACTGTGTGGATGTGGTGCACTTCTATACAAATACTTGATGGCAGAACACTAACACATATAAAAATATAAGTCTTTAAAAATTAATAGTTTAGGAGTCAAATTGATTCTAGGCATTCACTCCCCATGTATTAGCTCTGAAACCTTGAGAAAATAACCTAGCAGCCTTCACTTGCACGGTCCACATAAGCGTTCAAGGTGTCTGCGGAGTCTGTGGGCAAAACAGAAGCACTTCCACTAATGCATTGAAAAACAATAAATTGTGTAGATATTTCCTCCCAATGGAAACATTTCCTCCAGAGAATGGAGGCTGGCTTATAAGATTCAGGAATCAAATGAAACAAGATCATAAGACCTCCTACCCAAGGTGATTAAGGAGAGTTTTGGGCTAGGTGAGTCACCTGTGCCACCTGCAGGAACTTCTGAGATACCACTATCATCCTGAGCCATCACCCTTCCTGGAGCTTTTTGGTGTTACAGCTGCTATTGAGTCAGCCATGTTCCCTTTAAGCATCCCCCATAAACTCACTGGTAAACTACACTAGACTTGCTTAGAATCCTTGCTTTGGTCTGTTGTTAGTGCCCTATCTGTAGTAAGTAGATGTCTGTTGTTCAAATTTCCCCAGAAAAGCCATACCAGGGTATCCTAAGGATTTTTAAGTTATTAAATGTTTCTGCCAAAGTGTGTGGAGCAGCTATGACACTGGGAGAGCCAAGGACAGAAGAATGGCCTGGGCCGAAGACCTTGCTTTCTCTCCCAGGAGCTTTCCCTTGTTCTCTGAATCTGTTTCCTCCTGGGGCAGTGGACAGTGCAAGATGATGAAGTGCTGACCAGGTAAGGCAGAGAGAACACCAGCCAGGGCCAGCTCCCAGGGGTATATCTGTCTTCTCTTACTCATGGTCAGCCCTACAGCTCTGAAGGCTAGGAAGGGAGTGGGGAGGAAGAGAAGGAGGTGGTGGTGAAGGAAGGACTGGGAAAGCTTTTGTGGAAAAGAAGCCCTACACATGAAGTAAAACACTAAGGAAATATGGGGCTATTGACCCAGGTCTGGCTCTTCAGAAGAATGTGTGGATTAGAGAGATGTACATATAGTGGAAAGAAGCTCTTGGGAGCCTCCTGATTCTTGTGCCTAAATGACAGTGGTTCAACGTAATGAAATAGTAAGTCTATCTAGGGGAGATGCCGGCAGAAAATTCACCTAGATCCTGGTTGAATGATTCCCATAGAAAAATGTAAGGCCAGGCTCCAGGGCAATTACTTTTGGCTGCACTGCTAACACAATTTCAGTACTAGCCTGGAATTCTCTAGAGTGCATGTGTTCCTCTGCTATCATCAAGGGGCCATTCTACTTATGCACGGGGATGTTGTAGAACTGTGTCAACCACTGTCACACTGCCTGGTCATCGTGAGGTTGTATGTAGGAGAAACCTAAAACATGCATGCACGTTAAACTTCGTACTCACTATTAGTCTCCATTGTTCACTTAGAATACAGACATATCAGTAAATATTTCGACAAGTGCAACTAGGTGGCAGCATTGTGCTAAATTGTTACTGTTCTGACTCATTTTGCTACTGAAGAAGCAGCCCTGAAAGAGTCTAGATAATGCCTAGTCACGATCTCATAGCTGGGAACAGCTGAAAGGTGTAACCAGGCCTACAACTTACCATGCTTGTCTACTACCCACTCTTTGCAGTATTGAGATTTTTTAAGTCACATTGAGATATTATGTCCGGAAATCTGTGTCCATGAGCCTCCCTTTCCAAGTGACAGGCCCATATTGTCTGCTTATCACTTTAAATAACTTCAAATTTGCACATAACATTTAAAGAGCTATTGACCAGTTAATGGTTCGTGGTAGAAGGTTGATTTCACAGGTTATCTTGGGATCTCAATTATAGCTAAAGGAAACCAATCAAAGTGAAGACAGGAGAACAGTGCCACCTTGTGGTCATAGTACAAAATACCAAGGACTCCCCTGGAGTGTCTGTGTCAGGATAAAGGAATCCATTGACCTGTACTTACTTTACAGTCCAAACTTACATTGTCCACCTCACCCCATGTCTTCCCCCTCTTGCTGTTAACTCCAGTTCCATCTGCCTCCCATCCTTTCTGACTAGAAGTCTTTTCTCATAGAGAACTATTTCTTCTCAAAACTGTATGGCTAGGATGTAGTATTGTTTCTGACTGATTTACATAGTTTGCTATCTGACCTTGAGGAAACTTTGGATCAATAGTTTTCAAGCAAATGCTTTCCTTTACCACCTACAACTGATAGGATTCACAAGAATGTTGTCTGCAAAACAAAAGAGAAGGCACAATGACACGCACGTATGATCCTAGCACTCACATAACAGGAGGAACTCTGCCTTAAAACGGGTAGAACTGATCTGACTGAAGCTGCTCGCCTGTTCCCTCACCAAAGACTTGATGTCTCAAACACAAAATTCAATCCTAATTTACAGTCCTGGACACTGAAGAAAAAAAATGCTGTTGGAAATAAGGAATCTACAGAGCATGTTTATGGTTTTAGCAGATAATATTTTTTTAAAAAAAGCAAAGACATCCCCATATTGCTCTCTGGTAGGCAGAACAAAATGCAGTGTCTCCCACAGAACAATGGAGAATGGCTCTATATCAGTTTTTGGCCAAGGAGAAGGGAGTAAGGATTAGCTTCCAGGCTGAGGCCAGCCTAGGTCACGTGGCTGTGGTGACCAAATGAGCTGCTTAACTCAGAGATATTATGCGCACCCATTGCACGTGAAGCTACCTGGGGAGTTCCCAGTACTTGATTATAGAAAATCCCCATATATCTCAAGAAACAGGATAGGGCTTGTGTTGATGTCTGGGAAACAAAGCACAAACCTGCATCTGACTTTGGATTAGCTTCTGAACTTTAAACAAGTAGGTGTCGTTGCTTGCGTTGTTGTAAGACTGGATGAAGAAATGGAGTGTCGAGTTGATGTTTTTCTTGCTTGTGGCCTTCTCCTTGAAACCCCCCCATCTCTGGATGTGATTCACCTTAGCCATCACAACCACAGTCACCAGCAATAGCAGCAAGGGGAGCCTCAAGCCCCTTGCCTTCATCTCCATGGCTTCAGAAGGCGCTTATCTGTAGTGTTGAGAGTGCAGCAACAGTCTCTCAGTCTTCCGCAGCAGTCTTGCCGCACGCTAAAGCAGAGATTAAGACACCAAGTTCATTCTTCCAAGGTGCTAAGGACACTATCCATGGAAAGCTTTCCAAGGGCCACAGCAGTGTTCTTCCCACTTGCAATGGTCATTCTGTTCTTTAGCAATCCAGGTTAAAGGGTTTTCTCTGCACACATGCTAAGCCACAAGAGTCTCCCTAGCCTTGCTTGCACATGTAGTGTGATCCCAAGAACAGAGTTCAGAGCTACACACACATCAAAAACAAAAAACAAAAACAAAAAAATGCTGTAGCGGACAGAGGGCACTATGTATGGGAGTGGATGAAAGTCGGTGGAATAAATCATATTTAAACCGAGACAAAGGAATCGACCACGTGGAACCTGAAGTCGTACATTCCAACTGCCTTACGAAGCCACCAGCATCCCCTGTGCTTCCTCAGCAGATCCCCTTACTCACCTGCCTCTCACCTGCCACTGATTTCTCCCTGCTGTTTGCCACTGTGCTGGCTGGTTCCCAGGCTATCCCTTGTAATCCTGTTGTGACCCAGCAGAGCTTTGTGAGGTAACCCCAAGCTCCCCATGTGAAATCAGCCAGGAGTCTTACTCAGAAATTATCGCTGCAGGGTGCAACCTGTATGTAGAAACTCATTCCAGTACCCTAATTTTTTGCCTTATAAAAAGAATAATAGTAAAAGAATCAATAAAATCTTGGACTAGAGAGGTGGTTCAGTGCCAGCATAAGGATCTGAGCTTAGATCCTCAGCACTCACATAAAAGTCAGATTTGGCAGCAAACACTAGTAGCCATGATGCTGGAAAGCAAATATGGGTGGGTCCCAGGGCCTCACCTGTCAATCAGTGTAGCCAAAATGCTAAGTCTAGGTTCATTGAGAAACCTAGTCTCAAATATAAGACAGAGAGTAATGCCATAAGACATTCCAATGGCAACCTCTGGCCTTCATACACACCTACCTGTACACATACACACACACACACACACACACACACACACACACAGCACACGCACACGCACACGCAGATACACCATGATCTGAATGTAGTGCAGTGATTTTATTGTAATTTTTTTTTCTTTTTGGTTTTTCGAGACAGGGTTTCTTTGTGTAGTTCTGGCTGTCCTGGAACTCACTCTGTAGAGCAGGCTAGCCTCGAACTCTCGAACTCAGAGATCTGCCTGCCTCTGCCTCCCAAGTGCTGGGATTAAAGGCATGTGCCACCACCTCACGGCAAATGCTAACTTCTTAATGTTACAGTTGTACTGGCTTTATGTCACTGCTTCAGGAGGTTAAAAACCTAGGAGAGGTTCTGTGAGCTTTTTGTTTGGGATCTTTTCAGCCTTTTTATGTCTCATATTATTTCAAAATTAAAATTAAAATGTTAAAAACTAAACTTAGTCTAGTGATATGGCAAACAACACACGTGTCTTATTATCCAGCTGTATTATGGAGATTCTGGGCTAGTTAATCTCCCTGAGCCTAGATTTTTCATCTCCCTTTTTGAAACAGAGTCTCAGTATGTAGTCCTGTCTGGTCTGGAACTCACAGAGATCTGCCTCCTTCGTACAGGGATTAAAGGTGCGTTCCCCCACCTCTAACATCTCTCTATATGAAAATGGATGGAGGCAAAGAATTTACTCCTGTGTCCAACACTGGAGATTTCTCAAAACCATCAGTGTGATTCTTCACTGAGTCTGATTCATATGCTGGATCCACTGTCTGATGAGCCCCTAGCCTTAGTCCAAGCTCCATTGTGTCCCTCCATTGTGACAGTTTCTAGTACTGTTAGGATATATCACGGCATCCATATCGTGCTCCATAGAGTACTAGAATCTGTCAAGCTCCAGACATGGGAGCTTTGGAACACTCTAAGTTGGATTAGCATAGATGTCTCATCTATAACCTAACTCCTACCTTTCAGCTCTGTATTACAAATGACTTGCTAAGTAAACTCTGCGACTTGGGTGGGGGAAGAATTCTGCTTATTGGCAATTCAAAAACCTTTATTAACTAAGCTAAATATAGCCAATAAAATTGGATTGCTATGTGTCAGCAGAAGGATAGAAGGTGTATGAAACATTCTGTTTAACTGAACTTGGGGTTCAGTTCTTTCTTTCTTTCTGTTAGATACTTAAATTTTTATTTTATGTATATGAATGTTTTGCCTGAATGTACATGTGTATTCCATTTGTGTGCTTGATGTCTGACAAAGTCAGAAAAGGGTTTCAGAGTCCCACGAGCTGGAATTATAGATGGTTGTGGACCACTAATATGGGTGCTGGGAGTTGGATACAGGGCTTCTCTGCTACAGCAACAAGTACTCTTAACTAATGAGCCATCTCTCCAGCCCTGGGGCTCAGCTTTTTAAATATCCCTCTTCTGAGCCTGTGTGTATGTCAAAACTGCACAATAAAACTGCTTCCTGCCTCTTGCTAATGTAAGCATCTTGTTTCCTGAATCAGTTTCCCCCAAACAATACCAGAAAGATCCATGGTATGGAGGAGAAAATAAATATTTATTTAAGTCATGGAATAAAGGAGAAATAACTGGCCTATTTGCATCAATGGAATAGAGAATAAATGGGCAGTGTTTTAATGTCCAAGAACTAAGTGAATCCATTGTCTGATGAGCCTCTAGCCCTAGTCCAAGCTCTTTATGGAATAAAGATAAAATAAAGTCACAATCATAAATATGAGAAATATAGTGAGTATCAGGAACCTGCCCTTGAAGTAAAGGAAAAATAAAGAGCCATAGATACAATGCCATGAGGAATGAGGATGAAAGGAGGAAGTAAGGGGCCTGATTGTGTTCTTAGAACAATGGCAAAGAAGGAACTTGCTTGTCTTTACAGAATTGGAAAACTGGATTCCTGGTTATAGTTCTGAAATAGGAGGAGTATGATGGCTGGTTCCATTCAGGAATAAAAAGAAACACACAAACCGGTCCAAGCAGCTGTGGAAATTGTTTAAAAAGATTGGCCGTTTACAAAAGAAAGGGAAAAATAAGACTCTTCTCATGCCATGAAAATGGAAGTAAAATGCTTTATAATTTTATAGGCTAAAGGGAAGGCAGGAAATTGAGAATTTGAAAGACTAAGAAGAACTTAGAGTTTCCTTGTCCATAGCAAAGAGAAAATGGACTTCAGCTGGGTCCATGTAAGGAGGCAATCACAGAGACCTCAGTCTTGTCCATAGAACAAGTGATGGATGAGTCTGCAAGTGAGCACTTATAATTTCAAATTGTTCACTGTAAAGACATGGGATTATTTGTCAACTGCACTTCATAATGTGGTTCGGATGCATGGATGGGGGTGTATACATAAACGGATGCATGATAGGTAAATGGATAGATTTGGGGATGAATAAGTAGGAAAATAGCGAGGTGGATAGATAAAGGCATGGGGCACCTCCCAGAGTACTTCATATGAAACAGCCAGTCAGGCCAATGACTTTTCTGTCACCATAGTCTCCTGCTCATGACCTGTGCCTATGACACAAGGAACAGACTGAAACACTGAAACAATGAGCCTTGCACCATAGCCCTTCTTACCTACCTGTACCCAAGACATCTTACCATTTGTACCATAAGACAGATAGCTTCTGTGGTGATTCTCTCTCTCTCTCTCTCTCTCTCTCTCTCTCTCTCTCTCTCTCTCCCTCTTTCTCTCTCTCTCATCTTTTTCCTGTGCTCAGAAAATCTGGCCTCCTGTAAATAAACTAAATTTGGTATCCTGGCCCCTGATGGATCCAGTCATGCCCTGCTGGTAGATAGGATTCATCTGAGATCTGCCTATGGCTGAGTGATGTTTGGGTCCCTGGAAGTCTTTGCATGAGCTGCACTACTTCCTAGGTTTTCCTATTTACATCTAGGCTTGAGATTTGTCAGGCCAGCTCCCTGAAGAAAAGCAGGAAATAGACAGAAAAATAACATGCTTTATCACCACAGGCAGTATGCTCGCCTGTGTGGGCTGAGCAGTCTGTGGACAAGGATGTTTCCTGGCTCTAACTTTTAGTCATCCCTTCTCCTAATCTGTCCTTGTTGTTGCTGTTCCTCCCTCACTGTACCCCACTCCCGTAGATAGTTTACTCAGGTTAGGCCTTGCCTGAGATTTTTTTTGGGATTGCACTAGATCACCTGGTCCAAAGGCATTGCTCATGGTATCCCAGCTTCACTGGAAACCCAAAGTGGAATTGTCCTTGCTCCAGAATGAGGTCACTAGCATATGTCAAGGATGCTGCCAAAGATGTTGGACATGCTCCAGGCTAGGCAACAGAAAAGACCATATCCTGACCAGGCAGCCCTTCCTCAATATTCAAGCTTGTTAGTCCTGGTGTCAGTTGGGGGGACCCTGGAGTGTGCAGGAAAGCCCCTGAAAATGGCATACAAATAAGAAAAAAGTAGTTGTTCCATTGCTGCTTGGCCAGCTGAGTCACCTTCTTAGCTTAACTTTTCTTACCTGAAATTCTAGTATATAGTCATAAAAATAAACATCTCATAGGATGCTAGGCAGCTTTTCATTACTATGATTAAATATGTCATGGTAGCCAGAATGCAGACAGAAAGCAGCAGATCAGGTGCCAGGACAAAATATACTCCTCTAGGGGATCCCCCTCCCCCAACCTATTTCCGCTAATTAGACTCCACCTAGTTTCCATCACTTCCCAATCATGCCATCTAATTATTAGCTCACCCTCAGAACACTCTGCTGAACTTGCAGCCTTCAAGTCCCATCAGCTGGCAACAAAGCCTTTTAACATACGAGCTTTTGCTGGGTTACATCTCACATCCAAAGTATTACAGATGCTTGGGAAAATTAAATTATGAATTGCACAGGTACCCAGAAGGTGCAGCTTAAAGGACCAGGGTTCACATTGATATCAGTTGTATTGGCTATTTCAATTAAAAAAAAAAAAAACTTTCACTGAGGAGTGATAAGAATGGAACTGTTCCAGGGTTCCAAGCTGTCTCCGGAGAACTTAACCCTACCTGTGAGGTTGGTATTCAGCC